CCCCTCCCACGACCCCCGACGATCGTAAATCGAAAATCAGACGGTATCGATCTCGTCCGAGGCAACGAAGGGGCAACAAACGATCGCAACGTCGCGTCGCATCGTTCTGGCAAGTGACAACTGACAATTGACGAGCGAGCAATACCCGTGCACTTATAGCACTTCCGGCTGCGCGCACCATGCCACCGTTCTCGTTCCTTCGCCGACTTGGGGATCAAACATTACACCGGGGTGCTGATCCTCCAAGTACGAGTACAGCAAGGTGGCAGGCACAGTCGTCGCTACTGGTTGAAAAGAAAAAAAAAAGAAAAAAAAAAAAGAAAAAAAAAACGAAGAATCGAGAAACCATAGTGGCGAATGGTATACAATAAAAAAGGAAATGTATAATAAAAACAGTTCGAATCGAATCGAATCGATAGTACGAAACGGAAAGAAGAGAGAAACGGATATATATATATATGTACATGTCATGTACACTACGTGAGATTATAATTCTGTATTTATATATGTATATATATAGATCAATCTCGAGACACACACCGACATCTGACGGTAGATATTAAGACCTATATATAGAGACGTGTGCAAGACTGTGAACAACGAAAACAACGTAGAGAAACAAAAGAAAAATGATAAAGAACGAAGAAGAAAAAAAAACAAATCAAAGAATGACGATGTCTCGACAGAGTGATATCGCGCGACACGCCGACACAATGCCGAATTCTGTCTCTCTTTGCCGTGAAAATTTTTTCCACCATCTCGCTACTCGGCCAGCGATACGACCGTTATCTCTCATTGCGCCATATTTCTTTTCCATGTTTTCTTTCCCGCGCGCGCGACTTTTTAAAACGTGTCAACTCGACTTTCCTCTTTTCTGTTTTCTCTTCTTTCTTCTTTTTTTTTTTTTTTTTTTTTTTTTTCTCTTTTCGAAAACTTTTTCTTTCTTTCAGATACTCGTTTGTTTCTCGTTCCCGGATAAAATCACACGTCATCGAGCGGTTTCGACTGATCTCTTCTTTTTCTTTATTTTTTTTTTTTTTTTTTTTTTTTTTTTTGGGTTCTGTTTAAAATGTTAAAATAACACATAAAAATTGAAATCGGTTCGAATCGCGAGTTTAGTCGATATTTAATGGAATTGAAATTAGTTTTTGCAGTCTTTCGATCTAACTGTATGAAAAATTGTTTCCCGCTTATTTATTTATTTATTTTTTTTCTTTTTTTCTTCTTTTAGCGTGAACCACGGGCGGATTACGGATATGAATTAATTTTCTTTAAAAGAGGGTTTCTGTCGTGTTTTGGTATATGAGATATAACTTTCGGTGGGTAGATAGCACGGATCGGTTATAAAGACAGACACAGGGCGTTTGGTGTAACGGGGTTATTGGCACATTGTAGACAGGTGATAACAGACGTAGACAAGGGACAAGGGAGGGATTGGTCGTTTGGGTCCTTCGTATCATATCATGTTTCATAAAGCTGTGTGTTGAACGGTTACGATTTCGTAATTATTGCCGATCCGTCGATTCGGAACAATCGGAATAATAGAACGTAACGTGAACACGTTTTCTTATTCTGGTTTTTTTATCGTTGTCTTTTATACACATATATATATATTTTCCTTTTTTTCTATTTATATATATATATATTTGATTTGACTCTGTACCACATGATTTCGCATCTTTTCGCATATATATATATATATATATATATATATATATATATATA